AAGTGGCTGGAGCTAAAGATGAATGGGGGTAAGTCTCATAGATTAATATACAACCACTGGTACCTGTTTTCAAACTTGATTGAACAACTAATTATTTGGTCAACATGGTCAATAACTTGGATATTTACTTTGTAGCTTCTGCCTGTACATGTGTGTAGGGGAGCTGTGTACAAATTGAAATTCCATTGTATAAATTTGAGTCTTTTAGAATCCTAGACTATCAGGTCTGGTCAGAACCTTTATGGTCATAATCCCATTCTGGAAAACTGAAAGTCAAAAAACAGAAGAGGTACTTCAGCTGGTTAGTATGAGAGATAAGACTTGGACAGGTCTTCCTAACCCTACTTGAACTGCACAGCAGCCATTAGTTAACTAATCTTTCATTTCCTCCCACAAGAGGACTCAAAATTGGACTTGGATTAAGGTTAAAAAGACTATATTTCATCTGCTTCCCAGATTTTACTCCCTTTATTCCTGGTCTTAATTTTCTCCTCACATTAGTCCTCTTCTTCCTTTTATTCCATTTTAAGGAAATGATACTCAAACGCTTCTTTTGTATAGTTTTCATGACGTTTCATCCATGTGGCTAATTCCCTCAACTGGATAACTGCTTGGAGGAGGTTTTTGTATTATTTTTGGCTTGGGCATCCATATCCTGCCAGTGAGTGACAGCAGAGACTGCCTCCTCAAATTTCCACAGTGCTGATAAGAGGAGTTGGCAAAGGGCAAGAAGGAAGCTATAAGGAGAGATGGAGGGGGCCAGGTGCCAGGGAATCCAGCTACATACATGGCAGGATTTGCATATATGAGATGTGCACTCAGAATCAGTTCTCAGCATCCACTCATCATGAGGAAAGTACTTTACATTTGGGGACTTGGGATGGCTACCTTCTTAACAATGGCACTAAACCAAGAGGTAACACATGTAGATTCACTCTTCTCATTTTTTTTTGTTTTAAGTTATCTGATTGGAGCTTGAACAGCAGTTGTCATGAGGTCTCAGTGTCTGGCGTAAGTTTAGGTCAAAGTACGCAAAGATTGTTTCCAAGTGATCTGAATAGAAAATGTCACTCATCACTCTTCCACCACCATGTGAAAACTTGGCTTTGAGGGCACATGGCATCATTCTGACTAAGCATTGTTACCCCGGAGTATGCAATCGCTTTTCTGGCCCTCTGCTGCATGTTAGTGTGCAAGAGATGGCAATGCCTGCCGACAGACAGGCCCAAATAGGAGCTGATAAGGCTTATACCAATTCTGAGATTGCACCTTCTCACTATTTGTCCATTTTGTGGTCCCAGGCAAGCATTTTTATAAATGGACATTTAGCAGATGGTATGCATTTAGAAAACAGGCCAAAAGAGCTACTGCATTCTGAAACTGAAAAAGGGAGGCGTAAAATACAGAAAAACGGTCAGGAGTCTGTACTGCATCCTAGGCCCAGGTATGTTAGAAGTGGGCTAACAAGACAATGCAACCATCTGCTGGGCCATGGAGACAAAGAATGAAAAATTTCCCAGCAAGAAAAAGGAAATAGAGTGTGCAACTGCTGCTATTGCTAAATAGGGTCTTTAATCCCTCTCTCCACAATGGTAATGACTTACATTTATATGGTATCTTTCATCAGCTCTGATCTCAGGGAGCACTGAAAGCCTTCTCTTGACTCTGCTCCTAAATCTGGTCCTTAACAGGCTAAAGGATGACATCTATATTTATACTGTGTCTATTTTAGAGAAGAATAGCTCATGTGAAATAGGACATTCGGATGCTAAGGAAATGAATGAAGTGTGACGAAGGAAAAGGTGGAGGGAGAGAAGTTGTAGAAAGTGCAGATGCTTATTTCCAATCATGACCCTCAGTATCATCCAGCTGAATAGACACCTCCACTCAGATAAAGTCACTGAAAGCTCTTAATGCATCTAGTAAGCTCAGCTTCATCTCATCTGCCTCCTGTCTTTTCATGGAACTTGGCACTCTTCAGAGTCTATCACATTAAGGTGAATATTCTTCAGGGAGTCTTGACAAACTCTGACATTGGATTCTATGTGATGCTAAAGATATTTTTCTTTCATGCTTTGGAGGCACAGCAATGAAGGAGCCATTTGAGATATAGGCAATGAGAGGCTAAGGCTTGGAAGGGAGGGGAATAAGGGGGAATCTGGCCTGTCTCAGTAAGAAGCTCAATGAGATATGCAGGAACATCAGGTATAGCTCATATCGATGTAGCAGCCACCAACAATTATGATTCATTAAAGTTCTGGGAAAAAATAAGCTCATACAAGACAGAGATAGACACAAAGCAGTGGCAAAAATAACTCAGAGTGCTGGATTTCAGTAAGGACAGAGGTGGAAGCTCTGTCCATGGTGTCTCCAGGCTGATAATATCAATTCAGGAAAGGTAAGGCCACAAGGATTCCTTCTACATTGGCCGGGAATTGAATAAATGGGTGTCTTCTTCCCTTAACTATTCTTTTCAGTAATGATCACATAATCACTGTGCAGACACCTTAGGGAATGGCATATGATCTGAGGATGAATGGGATTTTGAAGACAAGAACAGAGGTGACATAGAGGAACACTGGACTGGGCACCAAGAGCTGTGTTCTAAACACAGCTTTCACCAGCTTCGTGGCAGGTAGTCAAGGTTCAATGCAGCAGGCAAATTTCTGGGCTTAAAATCAAAACCAAATGCTTTTTGAACCTTGACAGTTCACTTGATCTCTTTGAGCCTCAGTATCCTGATCTGTAATATAGGAATAAAAATACCTGTCTTATAAGATTGCACAAAGGGCATTACACAGAAATTTATGTGAAATGGCTTTAAGAATGGAAGCACACTATACACAAAAGGTCTGGCCCAACCCTGTGAGTTACAGATGGGAAGACAGTACCCCAAAGAAGTGGAACCCCATGCCTAAGGCCACACGGAGAAGTAGTAACAGAGTTGGGCCTTGTATCCAGTTCTTCAGGTTGAATCTAGCTTTCTTTCGTGACATTGTTATGATACCTATTTCTTCCCATCTCAAGTGGCTGGCTGAAGATCCCATGAGATGGGACAGAGATGGGGAGGAGTTTTAATAAAGTGATGAACACCATATAAATGCAAGCACATGAAAAGCAATATAACTAGAGTAGGGGCACACAGTGACTGGACATGAACCCCAGCTGGGAAACTTGATGAAGTCCACCAGCACTCAGCAATACAGCCTGGCCACAGACAAATCCTGGTAAAATCACTGAGAAAACTAACACGCAACAACGTCCGGCTTTAGCTTCTCGAGATCTTGCTCCTTGGGTCTGTTAAATCAGGATTTTTGCTTGTAGGTTCTTAACAATTACCCCTCATCATTATTTTCTAGATAAATAAGGCTCATAAAATTACAAAAATAAGAACATCTTCTGTCCACAGCTAGTGTAGGTCCCATGAATCAGTTTCATCATGCTGAAAGAGATCAGCTTCTCACATGTCATGCAAGGTCAAGGCAGTACCTCCTGCCCAGGTGGGCTTAGCCTGCACTCTGCATAAAACCAAGCACCTTCAACAAAGTCTGATGATGAAAAATGATGATGCCCAGATGAGCACATCCACTTTGGGCAGACACAAAGTGTAGGTCATTTATTACCTTTAGCAAATGCAGGAGATGTGACTGCTAATTGGTCTCTTCATTAACCAAGGAGAACATCTACCACTACAACTCACAAGCTAGTGGCAATCTGGGGCGATTTTTAAGTGGTTTCCACTTCATAATCATATTTCTTCCTGAAATCTGCTGGCCTAAAAAATGTCTCTAATTCTTCATGAATAGACTATTCCTGCCTTCAGGAAATATGGGCTTCCTGGGAAGGGAGAGGACAAGTGAGTGGTACACATCATAAACAGAAGTGAAATGCTACACCAAACCTTAAACATGGATGATTTTTTTTTTTTTTAAAGCCAGGCTTTGGTTAGAGGGTTTTATACTATTTGGCGACAGGGGGAACCCAATAACTTTTTTTTTTTTTTTTTTTTTAGCTTCTGCAACTCCTAGGTAAGAAGTTTCTACTATTTTCCTAATAACTAATGGCTCTAGTCTTCTACAGGAGTTTTATCATATATGATGTAAGGCCAGGGTCAAAGGGATACTTTTGCAGAAATGTGAGGCCCTAACAGCAGGGAAGGATTTGTGTGGTTGGGGAGGTTAGCAAGGGAATTCTGCCAGCAACTGACAAGGAATACGGTCCTTCTAGTAGCAACCAGCATTTCAGTTTCAATTAGTGAACAAAATCCCTTTCTAGTGGGCATGCAAAGAGACACAGTTATAAGGTCTCCTGGGAGCAGGAGGCACACACCACCTTCCAGCCTCCCTCCTTCCACTGAGTGCACAAAAATGACAAGTATCTGAATGTAGTCAAGTTTTCATTTTAGGGACCTGCCCAGGACAACTTATCAAATGCCCATGGAAAAAAAGGGAAACAATATGGCCCAAAGCTGTGGCTACCTGATCAGTTAGACTTCAGGATTCACTGGTCATCAGCTTCTAATGGCTCTGCAGTGGACTTCTCACATTACATGTGTGACTTCTGGACCTGGCATGCCAGATAAACTAGCTAGTCATTTCCTTCCAGGCTTGGCATTCTTGGATCTTATTGGTATTCCTAATGAGTTTTAGAGGCTGTATCCAAACAGCAAACTGTACTGTTAGATCAGATGAGGACTTAAGAATAGCATCTTTAATAAAAAGCATAAACATAGTGGGCATGACTGCAGTGTAGACAGTTATTAGGGTTATGGTTTCAAAGTTTCTCAAACAATGGCTCCAGGAGAGAAGGAAGATAGTAAATACCAAGTAAACAACGTACAAAATGTGCAGCAAACTCAAATGTGCAAGGAGACCCATTTTAATTTGATTCCCACCTCTTTGCAAACTAATGAACACAATGTGCCACAGATGTGTCTGAGGTGCAAAGTCCAGCAATTAAATAACTAGACAATCCAAGTCTGAAGAAAAACTTAGCCTTACCTGGAGACATGGAGGAGTCATAAGAACTTCTCTCCTTGCGGTTCATCTTGAAGGCTTGGATGTCCTTTTCCCTGTACGTTCCAAAGCCTTCATAGCTCCTCCTTTTACTCCCACTCACGTCACTGTCCCACTTGTCATTCGAAGGGTTCATTTCACTGAACACGTCCAGGTTCTCCGATCTCGTGCTGCCACCATCCCCGCCACTGCCAGAGTATCTTTTTGTGCATGAGTCCACAGGCTCACTGCTCAAGTCTCCTTTTTCCTTGGCCTGTGTCCAATGCTGGGCGTCGGAAAGTGACAGTGTAGACAAGGTGTCCACCTCGAAGTTGTTCTTAGAAGCTTTGTGGCCGGCTTCACTGTGCTGGTGCTTCTGTTTCTCCTTATGCTTGTTCTTCTCACTCACCAGCGGGAGCTCTTTGTCTGCGCTACTCAGCCGCTCGCTCAGGATGTGGCTGGAGAAGCCTGTGGCTTTGCCTGCAAAGAGACCACTCAGGTTGTCGTGGGTCCCTAGGATCCGGTCTTCCTTGTGCTTATGCTTGTGTTTGTGTTTCCTCTTATGGAGCCGACCGCTGGACAGACTGGCACTGCCTACCTTGGGAGGATTCAGAGAAGGCTGCATGTCACCAAGGCCCATGCTAACAGGTCCCTGCAGGTGTACTCCATGCTTGGCTTTATGCTTAGCTGCACCGGACATCTTTACGTGGGAGTTTGTGTGGAACTGAGGTGGTGGCACTGTTGGCCTCATGAACGGGGAAGCTGCTCCAAGCGTGTGCGATAGGTACAAAGGAGCTGGGTACTGACCGTAATAACCAAGGTTCATCATAGGCATTGATGTGTAAGGCATTCCATAGGGTGCATAGTAACTTCCACTGGGAATAGGGTAGCTGAACCCTTGTAAAAAAGGCACCTTTGTCATGGTGTCATTGGTTTTTGCAGGCCTACCACGCTTCTTCTTTGACTTCAAGTCTGAAGTCCTACGAAGATAGAGCAACGGGTCATACTGGATATATGGCACTGGGTAATAGTGATCAAAATTAATCCGAAAAATGCTGGGATATGGATTCTCGTGGTAGAAGGTGTAACTCCGGTGGGAGATTCTGAACACTTGGAACTTGGTGATGAGCTCCTCCAGGTCTGCCAGAAACTGGAGGTCATCGCGGTTTTGCAGGCTTTTCCGTTTCCTCTTGTGCTTTGGCTTCTTGAGGCTTTCGTGGGCCAGAAAGTTGTCCACAATGAGATGCTTTTGCCGGTGGCCATGCCGGTTCTTTGTGCTGGTGTCGGACGGAATGGCCTCCGGGTTGTCCAGGGAGCAGAAATCAAAAGAGTACCTCCTTCGGGATTCTGAGCTCTTCTCCGCTTGGTCAGAAGTGCTGTTGTTGTCTGTCCCAATGCCGCTGTCGCTGGGGATCGTCTCCTCACTGTGGGACTCACTCACAGGGGACAGCGTGATTTCCTTTAGGGAGCCAATCTCGCACAGGTGTGAAGGGGAGTTGGCCATCAGTCTGGGTGGAGACAGCTTCCAGGTTCCACTGTGTATTCCCTTTTGGGTTTTGGTTGGAAGAGCACTGATGGGCTGGAGATTTGGCATAGTTTTCAACTCTGAAAAATTGGTTTCAGTGCTGGCAGGGCTCAGGTTGCCATTGGACCCACCTAACTGTGTTGAAAGTGGGTGCATAGCTGCTGGTGAAGATGCCACAAGTGACTGAAAGTTGGAAGGCACGGCTGGAACATCCGGCTGGCTAGAAACAGGCCTGGGGTGCTTGATGGCTGTTTTGGGTTCTTCGGATGGGGGTGGCAGCTCTGCTCTTGGCTTCCTGCCCCGCTTCTTGCCAATGTAGATGGTTCCCCTCTTGCTGACATTAATCTGCTTGCCCAGTTTGCTTTCAATGGCTGCTGCCCCAGGGCTGGTCTCTGGGGGAGCTTTTGCCTTCAGAGCAACGCTGCTGGAACAGGACAAGATCTGGTTCAAGATGTTTTTCCTCTTGAGTGTCTTCATCTTATTGATAGTTTTGATGGTCTTCTTATCCAACACGCCGAGCTTTCCAACTTTCTTGTGAAATTTCATCTCGCTCATGGGTTTGTCCTCTCCCGGCACTAGCTGGGCCAACTTCGCTAAATTGCGTCGTCGCTTTCTTTTCTTAGTGCCAGGAAACTCTCGGCTGATGGGACTGACGGGGCTGGTGGAAGTTCCCTCATGAATCGTCTCGACTGTGAGCAAAGGCTGCTTCTTTGGTCGTCCCCGCTTCTTTTTGACTGGAGTGATCACAGTAAGACTGTCTGTGTTGGTGTAGAGAGGGCTGGATGGGGTGATGGGATACGCAGATGGGGGCTCCAGCATCAGTTTATCAGAGGTGGCCATAACTGCCTCTCGAAGCATGGTGCTGGGTTTTGGTTTGCTGCAAGTCCACCTTCGTTTTGCAGCAAATTTTGGATGTTGGATTTCCGGCAGCTTTCTGGATGGAGAGTGATCTGTGCACGTTGGAGGTGTCATGACCATGGGTGGCTTCCGTGGCTTAGACACACCTCCTGGGATAACTTTCTCAGCATTTCCACCAGTTTCAAGGCCAACTGAGGGGGACTCATTCTCTATCATTTTACCCAACTTAGGGACACGGGGATCCTTCTTACTCCCCTCAGAGTTGGAAAGTATCCTGTTAACTACTTCACTGCTCATAGTGATTCCAGAAGCCAGGGCTTTCTCTGGCATGATCTTTTCCACCACCGCTTTAATGGACTGTCTCTTTTTCCTCTTATGGTTGGTTGGATCCAGAGAGGGTGCCTTGATGGGGATAGTAATCCGGACATGACTTGAGTCATTTTCAGGATTACTGGCAGAACTCACGTTCTGCCTGGCTGGTGATGCCTCCTGGACACTATCTGTGGAATAACTTTCCCTTTTCCCTTCTGTATTGTCAAATGCTTTCTGGGCATTCTTGACCCAATCCAGGTCTGGGTTTGGTATGGTCTGACTTATCACATCCTTCTTACTGGACTTTTTCTTGCTGCCCACAGTAGGTGGTTCTGGGGGCTCCTTTGTACCTCCTCCATCTTGATCCACCAAGGGCTGAAGCCCGCTGCACTCAGCAGAGCTGCTGGGTGGGGCTGGTGAGCTGTGGCTGCTTGGGGATGGTGCCACACCTCCCAAAAGCAGATCTTTGTTATTGTTAGACAACTGACTCCACGTGTTCCCTGCACTGCCTTTCTTACCCTGGGCCTTTGCAAAGGAAGCCACGGGCTCAAGAGCTGGGATCTTGCTGGTGCTTGCAGTTTCTCTGCCAGACTCTGGACTGATGAAGCAATTCTGAGTGACAGGTCCGCTGTCAGAGTTGGTGGACCAGTCCATGTGGTTCTGGCTGCTGCTTTTTTGCTGGTGCTTTGGTTTTAAGGTGTCACCGGTGAAGTCCTGTGGGAGGCCTGTGTCATAATGGAGAGTTGAATGTTTCTGGGGCCTCTCGTAAGCCTAAGGGTGGGCGGAGTGGAGAAGGAGAGAGAGAGAGAGAAAGAAACAAAGATGAGCATGTTGAAGCTACTTAAGATTTGACATCAAAAGTCTCAATGATCTGAAAGTTGGAAATGAATACCTAAATGAACAGCCACCTTTAATTTTAGAATGCTTTACAGAGGTTTTCTCAATTGCAGCAGTAAAGATGTATTGCACTGGTTTTGAACATCAGTAAGCATGCTTTAATTGCAGTCTTTTCTCCCTAAATAACAGGAATCTTGACCTACCTTGGTTTAATGCAATCTTTAGAGACAGGAGGAAGGGGACATAAAGGTCACTTAGCCCAGTGACTTTTTACATTTTTACATGCTATTTTACAAATGAAGAAGCTGAGACCTGAACAATGGGGAGTCCTGCCAAAGATGGCAAATCCCAGGAGAGAATCTGAAATTCCTGACTCCCAGAGTTCTTTCACCTAACTCGAGCAGCCTCTTATTTCTGTCCCTGCTTCTCTTCAAATGAATGTCTTTCCTCACTTCCTCCTGTTCCAGCTCATTTCAGTTTGTACTTTGTCTTAAAGCTCAACATCTCTGTACAAGTAGCTCATAAAGAACCACTGTAACCAGTAAAAACAGCCCAGGTTGAGGAATTAAGGGGGCATGGAGAGAAATGGAAGAAGAAAAGAAACACACAAGAATTGTCCTAAGCCTTCAAATCCTTGTGGACTCTAGGAGTGTTGCTGTGTTTGGGGCTTAGCATGCAAAGAAATCCTTAAACTTTATATTATGCACTTATTGCTTTCTTGAGGAAACTTTTGGACAGTCTCAAAAGGAACCTTGAGTCCGCTAGACAAATGTGTCAGGAAAAAAAAAATAGTTGTCATTCAAGATCACTCCTCTGAACTTTGTCAACTGTGTTTCCCCTACATTGATTCTAAAGGAATGTCTCCAGCATGTTTCTCAGGACTGACTCTCTCCAGCTAAAATAAAAAGCTGAACCTGTTGCTGGAGGCACAACATAATCAGTGTCTACAAAACCATAATGGAATGGACAATGAACACATTGTTTGGAGACATTAAAGCTATTTTTAATAAAAATATGCTTTCACTGTTCCAGATGAATTTTAAGCCATGACACTAGTTCAAAGAAGCATTCCTTAAGGTTTATTATAAGCCCAATTTATACATAGAGTAGTAAACTTACAGGATGCATTAGCCTAAGAACTGTTAAAAAAGAGAAAATATTAGTAAATTGAAGAACCCCTCCAGGAAGTGTATGATGACTGGCTTCATGAATTTAGAAAATTTTAGCTGGTAATATCTATCTATCTATCTATCTATCTATCTATCTATCTATCTATCTATCCTCTATCTTTTTATATCTCATTTTATCTCTATTTTTCATTGAAGCTATGCAACTTATGCTTTATAGGAAAACATGTCTTACAGCCCCTGTTAAGAGTCAAAACACAGATGGCATAAAGCATTACAGGGACAGTTCAATGTAGTCATGAAACTAGGATTTCCTTCATACTAATTTCTGGAATCCCTAGGGTTATTTCCTGCCTCCCTGATTTTGTGAAATCCTGTTTATACTTACAATATTTTGTAAGCATCATGAGATAGTTTCCTCAAGGGAAGCCTGTAAATACCCAGGAGAAAACAATTTAATTTTTTAATTCATCTTGCAACTTAAACTTCTACTGAAACACCACCATCATCAACATACAGAGAATTAATCCTACCACTTGAGGGTGTTCACTGGCATTACTGCTGTGAACATAGGCTGCTATTCCATTTTCAGCAAAAACACAGAAATCTTATTTGTGGCATAAAATATTAAGTGCTGCTTACTTATCTTTTATGAATCAGGGCACTGCTAGTTTCTACTTCTGCTTTGGAAATTAGCTGGCACTCTGTGTTCACTCACAGGATCACAGGTCTAGAGGAGCTCTTGGAGGTTAAGTTTTCTGCTCCTTAGGTCCTCATACTGGGGCATCTTGAGAGTTAGTGGGGGCGATTATTAAAAATAACAGTGAGATGGCCAGGCGTGCTGGCTCACGCCTGTAGTCCCAGTACTTTGGGAGGCCGAGGCAGGTGGATCACCTGAGGTTGGGAGTTTGAGACCAGCCTGACCAACATGGAGAAACCCCATCCCTGCTAAAAATACAAAATTAGCCAGGTGTGGTGGTGCACGCCTGTAATCCCAGCTACTCGGGAGGCTGAGGCAGGAGAATCACTTGAACCTGGGAAGTAGAAGTTGTGGTGAGCTGAGATTGTGCCACTGCACTCAAGCCTGGGCAACAGGAGTGAAACTCCATTCAAAAAAGAAAAAAAGTGGGACAAACAGTGTGACTGTTTTGGAGCTGGGTAAAACAGGACTTGTAGTGGCCTTCTACCCACCTCTACCCCCATCCGTTTTCTAGTTCTAGGCACCAAAGTCCACAGAGAGGCTCCATGGTGACACTAGGCCAGGGATCTTGGGCCCCAACTCGTACCATTTTTTCTCTGTTGTTCCATTATCATATTCTTGGTACCTAGCAGAGTCTCTAATTAATGTTTCTTTCATGTTCTGGCTTCAGCTCAATCCTGGGGAGACACCCCTACCTTATAGATATACCCCTACTGTAAGTTTTCATGAAACCATGTAACTTATCTTTGTTGCACTTACCATAGTTCTAGTTTTACATTTGATTTGTGTGCTAACTGAATTAAATGTCTGTCTCCCCTTCTTGCTTGTACACATCATCACAGAGGTACTACGCAGAGCACCTGGCACACAGTAGGCACTCAATAAACATCTACTGAATGAATAAGCATACATTTTACTACAGGCATTTCATTTTGTCAATAGTGAGATCAATAATCTGTATATTGCAACATGTTGTTTGCAAACACGGTCACTGCCTTCAGCCTAATTTCTTATTCTCTGTATACCTCCTGTATGTGCCACTGCCTCCCATAAAGACATCTATCACAGTCTTTATACTGCTAGGTGGCATTTATTTGTGTACTTTTCTGTCTCCTTTTCCTAGACTATAAGTACTGTGAGGTCAGAGACTTATCGTCTTATCCCCAAGGCCTACTACAAAGCCAAGCACCCAGAAAGCTCTTGATAAATGCTTGTTAAATAAATAAATGGATGAGGTGCCTATTACCATGGCAAAATATACAGCTGCACACAAAAGACAATACACTACTAATCTGTCATTTGATGATGGCTCCTAATGAAACTGGAACACTGAAATGCCTTACGTGCTAAGCAAGAAATCCTTCCCAAATGCTTAAAGATGAAAGGAGCTTACAAGGTAACTCCCCTTCAATGTAATTTTTACTGTTAGTTCTCCCCATCTCCTAATTGTTTCACTTTTCAATTAACTCTGCCTTTGGAGAAGGCCATGAGACTGTCAGAAGGGTAGATTTCACCCTGGCAGTTGAAAGGTGGAGCTTGCTCACTTACACCCAGGGCAGACCAGCTGAGAGTAATACAGTTAAGCATGCCCGGTCCCTAGTGCTTCCCTGGACCACTGCCTGATCCCATTGTTCCTACCATTTCAGCTGCAGTCTGCCCTGCTGGGAGTGCTCAGCAATCAAAGTGCAGGGTGGACAAAAGGGAAGCACAACAAAGGATCAGGAGTAATGGAGGGAATGGTGCTTTAAGATCTTCACTCAGCTGGGCTGCAGAGAAGGGGCAGGGAGGACCCAGAAGGAGTGCTTTCTAAGAGGTCCAGAGAACAAGGCCTCCTCCAGCCTTGGCTGATGGCTATATCCCATTGCAATGCGCTTCATCTGTCAGCCATGACATATTATATACACAATAGTGAGGCTGTCAGTTCCAATATGTCCTTTGCTGAGAACTGAGCACTTACTCCATCCAGACAGAGATGGACAAGGCAAGCTGCAAGACGGGGGAAGCACACACCACAGCCTCTGCCTCCCATCCTAGTGGTCTGGGGAGATGATACCTTATTGGGCTCTTGGACTCAGGTCTTTATTGACCTATGCACCACGTCTCCTTTTTCTCTTTAGATTGAGAGTTTTGGGGTTTGATTTTTTCTTTTTGATGAGGTCTGAATCTTTTACAGCCTTTATACCATCCTCAGCCCTCAGCAGAACTATTAACAGTTAACATGTGAGGGAACAGTCAATGATATTCCATATTGGGCATACAATTCTGGTGGAAAACTTTCAATACCAAACTAAGCTTAGCATGCTTCATGGCTGCCGGCTGCCTCCCACCTCTCTCCCCATTCCCAAGAGTTGATTGATTGTGAAATTCATGGCAGTTTTGAAGGTGTGGCTCACTTTTATAAGAAAAATGTTTTCCATGCACATTGAGCCTAGGTCGAATGCTTCAGTGAAACTCTGAAAACACTAGGCAGATTTGTGCTTTCAGTATTTCTTCATGGAAGCAAGTTCTTCTGTAATGTAAAGAATCGTTTTGTAAAGTAGATAGTTATTCTCTCCCCTATAAGTTGACTAAATAATATACATTTAAAGTGTGTGCAAGTCAGGTTTCTTTTTAAAAAGTATTTTTTAGTTTATTTTTCAAAACAAAATTAGATCATTGAGTAAAATCTTAAAAATCAAAAAAATGGGAAGCAAATGAGTGACCTAGCCTTATCTCAGGCTTACCTAATGCAAAATTTATTGCAAAGAGATGAGAAGATGGTGATTTGAATCTAATAAAAATCACATAACTCATTTAAAAAAGAAAAAAAGAATCAAGCTTGACTTTGTGAGAGATAAACTACTCTTTTGAGTTAGCTATGTCTGTGCTACTTTCTGCCGACACCAATAATTTAAATTTACTGTTTGTAAGATATTTTGGGTTACATGAGCAGGAAAATATGCCTGGGTATGAAGCAATGAGGGAGGCCTCATCTCTTAATTTGGAACTTGGCACTTCTCAAGATGTGGTCCTAGATTACAGTATCAGAATCGCTTAAGGTGCTGGTTATAATACAGATACCGGGGCCCCCTGTAGACCTACAAACTCACAGTCTCTCAGGGGGAGAA